GCTAGAGTCAACACAGTCTTCCCCATTGTCCTCTGCTCTTCAAAAGAAGATGAGCTCTCTTTCGGGGGAGTACTCTGTGAGACTCCATGAGCTACACATAGCTCCATCATTTAGCCAAGATGAATGCAAATGATTCTCGGAGCTCCTAAGAGGGCACTGTGTGTCTTTGTGTACACTCTGGATGAGAGTCCTTCATGCTTGACTTTTATTATGTTATAAACCAAATATTTCCATTCTGTTTCTTGTATCCTATTTGATGTACAAATACAGCTATTATTGGGAAGATCCAAAGTTAGCAAAAGTATATCCTTCCACGCTTATCCTCCCTCCACTTCAATAATATAACCTGAAATACAATCTTCTGCTGGGAAGTATATTCAGGGAGACATATAGTTCAAAGTTTCTTCCCCATCAGTGAATATGAACAATATATCAATGTCCTGGTACTCAGAGCTGCCAGGCAGGCCTGTTCAGGTGCTTCTGAACAATAATACTGCTGTGTCCTATGTCAACAAGTAAGGCTGCGCCAGTTGTCCCCAACTTTTCAAGGAGACACCTGCCTCTTGGGATTAGTGCAGTTGTCCATGATCTGTCTTGCAGGGACTCTGAGCAGTCAGACAAACCAACTTCAGTTGCTTCAAACTGCTAGACCGTGACTAGAAGATCTAGACAGCTGTCCTAATACCAGTATTTCAACAGTGTTCCTCTTTGTGTCACAATATAACAACAAATGTCAGGCTTTATGTCCCAGCTACCTGGGTTTATCTCTGGAAAGTTACTGATTTTTCTGGTTGGAGACTCTTTTCCCATTTCTTCTCTTCTTGAAAGCATTTTTTTCCAAATAAAAGACAGAGCTTAGGCAATACTGTTGGCCTTAGAAAGAGACTAACTCGTACTGTGCTGCTTACGAAGAATCTCACGCTGAGCATCAGACTGTATGAAAGAGTGCTTTGGGGCTATAAAAGGAACCTACATTTCTTTTAGGGCTTGCCCCAAAAGTTACCTCCCTTTGGGATGTTCCAAAAATTCCCATTTGAAAAGCGGCCAGATGGGGTCCCATTCACTCTTTTAGTAAGCCTTACAGACTTACGGAAGTATCTGGGAGCAGATATTCTGGGAGTCCAGAAGCGCTGTCTGTAAGAGGATCTTCTGCCAGATATGTTTTCATGGGTGCTGCACATGGACAACAAATGACAGGAGGAAGAATGGCTACTTGTTTGCAGTTTTTTCTGTAAATATATATTTATTTTAGGCAACACATCTCCAATACTTCCTCCTACTCTTCTTCCCTCTGTAGTCTAATTGAATATATAGCTTCTCAGGATGAGAGGAGCTGAAATGACTGGCTGTTCCACCTCTAAATTTACCATATATGCAGCACATGGAGACAGAGGGAAGGGATGTCTTTAAAGATAATGCCAAAGCAAAAAAAAAAACCAAACCAAACCAAACCAAACCAAAACCAAAACCAAACCAAAACAAAACAAAAAATCCCCAACAATTCTAACAATGCTGGCATAATAGTTTCCACAGAGCTAATGCAGGCAAAGACAATGAAGTTGGAAGAACTGTTACAGTTCTGTTTTTATGAAGCTGTTCAATTCCCACAGATCCCACTTCCACTGAAGCCGAGAGGAATGCTGCCATTAGTTTCAGCAG